TTATTAAACCTCCCACTAGGGTTTTCTCAAATAAGTAGGACTCTACCTACAAATACGGAGACAAGGGGGAGAGAGGCCTCCTCTCCTCCATCCTATTCTTTTTTGAGTGTTTACCTCAAGCAAAGCATTGTCCCAGGCATTGGAAGGCACTAGTGAATGAGACTTGCATTTTGGGATTCAGAGGCAGTTGTAGAATATCACCAAGTGAGAAAGACATGCAGAAATTAAGAATTAGGTGGGAAAAAAAGAACACGTGATAAAGTATGATAGGATGGTGATGAGGAGTGGGCAGGATGCTGGAAGAGGTCAGGAAATAGTAATTCAGGAGACCTCTGTCTGGAAGTCATCTGCACGGAGGCACTAAGCCAAACTCAGTATGGGCTGAGACATCAGGGGACAGTCTCCAGAGTGAGCACAAGACCGGTCCCACAACCAACCCTGAGACCCTCCAATACGTGCAGGCAAAACGATACATGGCTGGCTGAAACATCAAGTAAGGTAAATACAGGGAAGCAAACACTCAATCTGCCAAGACGAGGGGCGGTGGGAGGTCACTGGTGACCCTGAGAGCAGGCAACTCAGGGGAGCACTCAGGCTGGAGCAGCAGAGAAAACAAGAGATAAAGAAGTGGGTTCTCCCAATTCCAGAGAGAAATTTAACTTAAATTTCTTTAAGCGCCATTTTAATTTAAATCAATTACTGCTATTCTAATTTTTCTGGAGTTTTAAAATTGAATTTTATAGTCTCAATATCCCCCTAATGTAGTCAAAATTGCTAAAAGCTCCATTTTGCAAATGAGAAAACTGAGGCACAGTGGGACTGATTAACCTAAGAGCTTATTTTGGTCATGAGCAGCAGTTTTTGATTTTTTTTTTTTAAATCCTCACGAGATAATATGTTCATCAGTTATCTTATTCTCCCGAAGAATCTGAGAAGCTATATTCAAGCTAAATGTTCATTACTATGACTGTGTCTCTAATCTGTAACTTGGCTATCTAAGCAGCACAATGAAGTAGTGGAGAGAAACAGGAAGTCTCTGATTAATGGAGACATACAAGTTAGATTTCCACCTGTTATCTTGTACACTTTGAAACAACACTCCCACCTCTTCGGCCCAACTGCCAACAGCAGACATTATAATGAACCATCTATACCAGAACAGAGCCAACTGAGATGGGTTGATGATACCAAAGAAATCACATTCCCCTTTGTGTTGTTGGGTTGAGTAACATTTTTAATTGCATGATAAATTGAAAATGTTGGCAAAAACTTAACTTTTATAAAATTTAGGCTTTGTAACGTTAGTTTGATGGTCTTTCTGGTGGATGTTCTTTGCCGCAGAAGGAAATGTTGACCCTCTGAACGAAACCACTGGGAAGCAAAGCCTGCAGCTACGTGGTAAAGAAAGAAGAGACAAAAATCTTCCGCAGGTCTCTTAGGATTTGACTGAACTTTTCAATTATACCTTTTCAAGGATAAACTCAAATGCAGATCTCACTGTGGTCCTTGGACAAGTAGGATTAATAGAATAACTGAAAAGGGCAGGCCTTTTCTTAATGGAAAATAGGTGTGATTTTCCCCTTTTCCTGCTGAAACGTTAAAGCGTTCATCAGAGACACTTTTGCTCCTCAATGAAACACCACCAAACTTTTACAAAAACTCATCAGCTGAACTATTCTCTCACCACGCCTGTGGTCTGTCAGCTCAGCTAAATTAAATTATATTTTAATGATTATTATGAACACAATATGTTTGCTGACCACTTTCTTCTCTGCAACCGGAGATAAATTCTATTTTGCTGAACACTGGTAAGTAAAATATACTATTGCATATGGTTCCATATTTCAATTAACTTTCTGAAAAAATGAGAAAGTTCCTAGTTAGAGAGATTCTTCAATTACCCACCCTCATGGAATAAACTTCCTCTATAACATAGCTGAATTTAAAAATGTTTTTCAATTATATACAGCAGTACTGTCCTAGGCCAGACAGCTCAGTGGTAACATTTCTACTAAATGAAGCTACGTATGACTGCAGGACAAAAACAGATCTACACACAACATCTACTTCTCCCTAAACTTAAAAACTAATAGAACCAGTGAAGCTGATACTAGTTCTCAGTGGCCCAACCTCCCTTTGGGGCCCTTCTTAACTCTCCATCCCACGATGGACATCAGCTGTCCTCATTTGTTCTGTCGCTGAGTGAGCCAGTATTATTGAATATTTACCATACCAGGTACTGTGCTAAGGATAGGAAATAAAATTTTATTTCTCTCATGAACTTATAGTTTTGTGGCAGACTCAAACAAGTGAGCATTAATCCATAAAACAGTGTGAAAAGTGCTCAGAAAGGGAATGTTAAGGATATGGTAGGAGGACACAGTGGGGGGGGGGCATAATCTGAGAAGAAGGGGGGTGGTGGACAGTCATCAGAGTAAGTGACAACTAAACTGAAGTTGGAAAGTGGGAAAGTTAGAGAGGGAGACAAACCATGAGAGACTCCTAACTCTGGGAAACCAAGGGTCGCAGAACAGGAGGTGGATGGGTGGATGGGGTGACTGGGTGACGGACACTGAGGACCTTTGATGGAATGAGCACTGGGGGTGTTATACTATATGTTGGCAAATTGAATTAAAAAAATTTTTAATAGTTTAAAAAAAAAAAGGAAAGCCGAGTAGGATTTAGCCAAAGAGAATGAGTATAAAAACTGAAGTGATGGGACCAGCAACAACAACAGGGCAGGAAGAAGAAGATACATTTCTGACATGGTCAGCACTTCTCTAAACACTGCCCATAGCTTAACTCAACATAGCTCCTGAGGTGGGTACTGTTATCTCTGTTCCCATTTAGGGGCAAGGAAACAGAGGCACAGAGGTTAGGAAGCTAGTAAACGGGGAGAGCTAGGTTGTAAGTGTAGGCAATCTGAGCCCAGAACTCTCCCCTCTTCATTGCATTTCCCCACTGCCTCGCCATCTGGTGGACCACCGGGGCGGGGGGGAGGGGGGTGGCAGAAAAGCCACCTGCATGGCTGAGAACGCAGAGCACTCGCTATCCTCACTAACAAAAAAGAAGAAAAGAGTCTACCATCAGTCATCTGTCTTGGTTGACTAATTATGCTTGAATCTGAATGAATGACAGGTTGCACTGCTGTCCCATTAATTATGTCATCTACCTTTTCATCTCTAAGTGTCAAACACAAGGCTTCCTTGTGGGGATGTTGATACAAAGGGAGGCTGTGTGTGGGTAGGGACAGGGGGTATGCTGGAAGTCTCTGCTCTACACTCAACTTTGCTGGGAGCCGAAAACTGCTTTAAAAAATTAAGTTTATTAATGAATAAAAAGTGAAAGGATCTAAAACAGAAAGAAAAAAAGAAAGGCTTGCTTTGTCCCCATGAAAGGAATTTCACATACTACAAAGTGGAGAGAAATGGTTGGAGATAAATTTAAAGTTTCTTTAAGTCAACTCTGCAATTAAAATAAGGACACTGAGTACAGAAGGTGGCTCTGGCTCTAAATGATCAGCGACAGCCCCTGTGTGGCAGTTTAGTCATGATCAGTCCTACAGGATCATGTGTTCTGTTACCATCATTTCCAGAAAAGCTTCTGGGTCTGGCCTCTCCTCCCGGGATGAATCTATCTGCTAGAGCCTGGGTCACATTCTGCCTTCACTCCCTGACTTATTTCTATCCTAACTATCCTTTGCACCCATGCACCTCAGGACTCCAAGATGCATACTTCATGTTTCCAACAATGCCGAGCAACACTATTATTAAATAAAATGTTGGCAGGCTAATTTCCTTTTCCTGACATCCTCAAACATATTTCTAGGCTTTTAGTTCTGGTGACTAACCATATACGTGAGCTGTGGAATTATTACTGTGGTATGGGCATGGGACAGCACAGTAGCACCTTTGGAAAAATGTATAGGCATTTAGATTAATAGTGAAGGCAGAGGTAGAAATGGCTAGGTGGTGGCCCTTAAATCCAGAAAAGCTGATAACTTCATAATAATAGTTTGATGTAGAAACATGATGAATCTTAAAAACTAAATATTTAATTGTGTAGGCCATTCACTGTAAAATATTTCGAGTGCCTCTACTGCATCCCCAAACATGGAAGGGTTCTTTGGCATCCTTCATGCAGGAAGCCCATAGTTTTAAAATACTTTAAATCACCACTCCCTTCTCTCAACGGCTTGAGCATTTTCATGCATACCATCTACTTAGCTGTTAGCACTGACTTCCCGATACTATTACTGATACTCATGCCTTACTCTCATAGCTGGATCTTAAGGCTTTATTTTTTCTTTTCTTCTAACCTCCATCCCCTCCGGTGCCTAGGATGACAGACACTTAGCAGGACTTCATAAATCTTTCTTAATTGATTGCATTTACCATGATTAGCATCCTTCTTGTCACAGATGGAAATGTTATCAGATTTTTAATTTAATTAAATTTGCTTACAATTTATTTTCTCAAGTATTTGCTTCTACAGATTACAACTCTTTATTAACCATGTGTGAATATCAAATATCCTGTATATCAAAGCCAGCTTGATTACAACATCCTACCTAGAGACATCGTTCCTCCTTTTAAATAATGACAGAGGCTGCATTTACCCTTTCCCCAATCCTAGGTACTCTTGCTACATTCCAGAAGGCATGGAAAGCAGTAACTAAGTCTAACAGTGACAGCCACAGAAGACTAGCATTCTCCTAGACTGTGACTGGACTCGTGTGCCATGATTAAGCACAAAGCAACTACCTTTTTACGTTGAGTTCTCTCTTGAATGGTAGCAGGTCTACAAATCCTGCGGTCATAGCAATAGTTTTAGCTGCTTGGCAGCAGACATTGGTATGTAAGAGAAGAAACAGATTATCAAGTCTTTAAATCTTTGCTATGTTGAAAGAATACTGTGAATGAAGGCCACAAATTCATAGGTGCCAAACACTTCAGATCTTCTTCCAGAACTAATTTTTCCAGAGAAGTTCAATCACCTACCTTGAAGTTCTCCACTGCGACTGTAGAGCTCTCGTCTCTGCTCTCGCAAATAGGCGCTCATGCTGATGGCATGGGAGGAGGATTCGAACCTGTAACAAAATACAGGGTAAACAAAGAGGCAGTAACCAAATAGGCGGTGTCCAGCCATGGATTCCAAAAAACTATTCTACTATAATCTGTGTGGTGCAGCCCAGGGTTCCACGACCCAAACATTCTGGCTACTCTGTGACAGGGCCAAAGCAGGCTGCCACAGACCTTGGTTTATGAACAACATTCCTGGCTAACGCTCCTCCACAATGGCATTTGGATCATTTGCTCCTTCTTCATTTCAGCTGATATAACTCTCATCTGTCACACTTTCTTCTTTGCCAGGATTCCTATGCACACGCAATAAGGGATTCCCATAAAGTCATCCTAATTGTGCTACTACCCAGCTCACAAGGCACAAGAGACTGCCAGCTGCCTCCATGGAAATACTGGCTGCACAGAGCAGACATCTTGCTTCTCAAACTCCCTTGGTTAGAGAATCATTACAAAAGGCACACTAGCAATGCTGCTGAATACACCAACGAAGCAAGGCCTCTGCAGTCTCTCCTTAAGAGTCCTCAGAACCAATAGAGTTTCTAATCTGCCCACCTACAACATGAAATACTCTCAAAACTATCAGGCGACAAAGGGTGTGTTCACACCACCCCAGGAATCACCTCAGAGGTCAGCAACATGGAGGAAAGGCACGTGATACAGAACAGGTTTCTAAAGGCAAAACAATGACTCAAGAATGAAAAAAACAAAAGAAAAAAATCAGTCTTAAGAGAAACCTCCATTCCACGGGGCATTCAGCTTCTCTGCTCCCTCTTCAAACAGCTGTGTGCTCAGGAAAAGTGGTTCCTCTCTGGCCCAAGACTACCAGCAGAGATGACCCCTGACTGTTTAAGGGGGAGAAAACAGGTAGATTGAAGACTGTGTCAAAAATAAACCCTTTGATGCGTTAAGAAATTTCATTTCAGAGCTGTATTTTCAAAGACAGAGGAACAGGATGACAGGAGGAATCCTCCAAAGAATGATTGCCACTAAGTGGTAAACAGCAACATCACGGAAGAGCAACAGTGATAATGGCATAGGTTTCTGGCAACAAAAAAGGAATGCCACCACTCTCTTAATTATGCCTTCTTTATCTATTCTTTGACAAGGAAGATGAATGTCTGTCCGAGGGAAACACTTGGGTTACTTGATCCTCTCTCTGCACCCTGCCAAGAACTGAGAGAGCCCTCATAGCCAGGAGGAAGGCAAAGTGTGTAGTCCTTCAAAAGTGCCACCTGCCAGTCAAGTACAGGAAAGAAGCCACTGACCTCCAAAAAGCATGCTGACAGCTATTGATCAGAAATGGCAAGGGAAAAAGAAATAAACTCTTGAGCAAAGAATAGAGAGGCACACATTAGACAATACGAGAGAACTTAAAACACACTTAATTAACCTTGCTAGGGGCAATTAAGAAGAGTAATAAAGTCCTTCATGGATGTCATAAAAACAGATTATAGCTCACTCAAATCTTAATCCTTTATGACCTGATGTATTTTTGCTACTTAGGAACCCTCTGTATGTTTGCCACAACTCATAGATTGCTATAATTTTATGGTAAAAGAGGCACTAGAGATGATACTGTCTCACCTCCTTATTTTATAGCCAAAGGACAGAGGCTCACTACAACAGGAGACCTACTCTGGCTCACATGGTTCATTAACAGTAGAACCAAGACTAGAAGCAGGCAAATCTGTAAGAGCAGTCTAATTCTGTGTGGGTGGTGAGTTCTTATTACTATGCAATACTGACAAATGTTTAACAATTACTTAAGTTCATTTATTCAGTCCTAATCATTTATATGTTTTTCAATACCACAATTTCAGGACTGGCTAAATGTGTTAAAATGTCTATGTGGTCTGAGGCTGAAAGTTAAGGGTGATGGTTGAGAGCATGAAATCTCAACACCCTGAAACCTGCTTTCTGCGATACACCTAGATTTACAACAGTGAGTTGAGGTAGGAAGAGAGAGAGAAAGAGAAAGCATGCCACACAGCAAGCGGGAGAGCAAAGCAGAGGCCTAAGGATTAGGCAGCATCTGAGGCCATCCTAGTTGATCCCTTTCTTCCTTCCACTATCTTCCCTGTTTGCTGGCAGAGCCCCCATTCCATGGGGCATTCAGCTTCTCTGCTCCCTCTTCAAACAGCTGTGTGCTCAGGAAAAGTGGTTCCTCTCCAGCCCAAGACTACCAGCAGAGATGACCCCTGACTGTTTGAGACAATCACCATGGTCCGCCAGGGACTGCTTTGGGAATGAACATTAAGGCCCAATCCTAAAACCTGATGCAAACTTGCAGAGGGGCTCTGTCACTGACGGAAAAGATGAATAAATAGATAACAATTATTAATTTTAGAAAGATCTGAAATGGAACAGCCACTTTGTAAAAGAGTGTGGCAGTGTCTCACAAAGCTAAACATAATCTTACCATAGGATCCAGGAATCATTCTCTTAAGTATTTACCCAAATGAACAGAAACCTTACATTTACACAAACACCTGCAAGTTTAGTGCAGCTTTATTCACAATGGCCAGAAATTGGAAGCAACCAAGATGTCTTTCAACAGCTGAATGGAAAAAACCAAGGTACATATACACAATGGAATATTATTTAGCAATACAAAGAGATGAGCTATCAAGCCACAAAAAGACATGAGGAATCTTAAATGCATATTGCTAAGTGAAAGAAGCTTGTCTGAAAAGAAGCTACATACTGTATGATTCCAACCATAAGATGTTCTGGAAAAGATAAACTATAGAGAGTGATTATCAGGAGTTCAGGGGGTAGAGAAAAGAGGGAAGAATGGGTGGAAAACAGGATGTTAGGGGCAGCGAAAATACTCTGTATGATAACGTGATAGGGCATATATGACATTGTGCATTTATCAGGACCCAAAGAATGTACCACACACGGAGTGAACCCTGAGGTAAACAATGGACTTTAGTTAATAATGATGTATCAGTATCAGTCCATCAGTTGTAACAAACGTACCACATGACAAGGAATACAAGATGTTAACAAAAGTGGAAATTCTGAGGAAGAAGGACATAAGTGGACTCTGGCCTGTCTCCTTGATTTTTCTGTAAACTGAAAAGTGGCATAAAAAAATAGTCTATTAGGGACACCTGGGCGGCTCAGTGACCAAACATCTGCTTTCAGCTCAGGGTGTGATCCTAGGGTCCTGGGATCAAGTCCTGCATCAGGCTCCCTACATGGAGCCTGCTTCTCCCTCTGCCTATGTGTCTGCCTCTCTCTCTCTCTGTGTCTTTCATTAATAAATAAATAAATCTTCAAAAAAACAGTCTATTAATTTCAAGAAAACGAAAGTTGCAGGAAGAATCATACCCCTTCCTCAGCATCACCATTATCCTAGAGTGGGACCAAATAGCAGGGAAATGAAAGGGTTGGGTCCCTGAGGATCCCACACTGTTGAATTACGGACTCCTCCACATTCCTCCTTCCCATGTGAGGTAAGAACCTTCAGCTGTGTGGGGTCCTGTGTTACCTGTAGACTAAAGCATCTTAACTAACAGGGTGTCTATCGTCTGCACAAAATGGTAAGACGTAAGAAAGCATTCAATGCACAGAAGGCATTTTATTACATGCAGGCACATTCACTCCCCTCTTCTTTACACCACAAGATGAATGCACTGCTGAAATTTTTCATAACGATTAAGAACTCTCTGAATCTATGATAGAAACAAATCTCAAAGGTGAATCAACAAAAGACACTGGAGCTTCAACTATTCAAAAATAATGAATTCAAAATACAGAAATAATACTTCTGTAGTCCCTTTCTATGCTTAGATTTACAGGTACAACTTCTTAACCCATTATTTCCCAACTCCTCAGAAGAACACACAGATCTGCCAAGATTGAAATCCTGCTTCTACCAATTCCAAGCTATGTGGATTTACCTAAACTGCTTAACCTCACTCATATCTCAAGTTTTTTATGTGCAAAAAAGGATTAAGAATAAAACCCCAACCCAGGGGATCCCTGGGTGGCGCAGCGGTTTGGCGCCTGCCTTTGGCCCAGGGCGCGATCCTGAAGACCTGGGATCGAATCCCACATCGGGCTCCCGGTGCACGGAGCCTGCTTCTCCCTCTGCCTGTGTCTCTGCCTCTCTCTCTCTCTGTGTGACTATCATAAATAAATAAAAATTAAAAAAAAAAAAACCCAACCCATAATATTGTAAAGAGTAAAAGAGATAATCCATGAAAATGGCATCACGCTTTCGCTAGTACTTAGCAAGGATTCGGGGTTAGCCACTACTCCTGCTGCCGAAATTTGACATAATCTGAATTAAATTATGTTTGGGATTATTTTGAGATACTAATTTCCCACAGTATCTTACTGTGCTTTTACCACAGTAAGCACTCAAGTGGTAGCTATTGCTGTTGTTACGATTAATGTAAATAATATCAACTATTAGCTGTTAACAAATGACATACACTAAGAACATGGACTGGTGGCATCAACTAGGATAGTAATTAGAAAAAAGGAATTCCTGGACTGTTCCTGTATTAAACCAAATAAAATCCAATGCTACTTAGCTAAGGAGATTTGTGTGAACTTTAAAGTTATTTTTTGGCACTTCAGTTTTTTTTTTTTTCCCCAAAAGCTGACATATTTCATTTCATATAAAAGTCTCCAGAAACAACTGGCAAGATTCATTCCCTTCATTTTATATAAAATGCCACAGAAATAAATTCCAAAAATTTTTATTAGAAATCCTAGATAGTCCACTAACCATATTCCAAAATAGCCATTTCCCCTTATAAAACAAATGTATATAAAATTTAAAAAATGTATTTACTTCCTATAAATTATTTCAAATTAGCTTTAACTGGGTGATGTACTGGCTGCCAATAAAATAGAAAGCCATCCTACTTGGATCAAACACTTCTTGACACCTGCTATCTTACCACTGGGGAGATACTTACTTAAAAAGAGAATTTTTTGGCCTTTGAGGCTTCTTCTTGGCAAAAAAGGCTGCAAAATCTCGTCCAGTGCTGGCATAACTTAGTTGAGCTGATGGTTCAGAGGCCGTACGAGTATTTTTCATATCCAAGTACTCAGTCAACAGCATCTGTACAATCAGATAAACAGTTTAATACACACATTTATGATGTGCTACTAAGAAAAGCAATTTAAAGTGATGAAACCTAATTTTAAAAACTCATCCTTGACATTCGGAAGTATATTAACCTAGCTATTTATATTTCTAGTTGCAGATCTGAGAAAAGATTCATTAGAGCCAGAAAGTCATCTATTTGCTATCTATTCCTAAAACTGAGAGTAGGATGTGTTGGGCATTTGAATATGGGGATAATGGGGGACATTTTTAGTAACGGTCCGCTATGTGCCAGGTACTGTGCCAAGTGAGTTAATCAATATTTATAATCCTCGTAATTGCAAAGGCCGTAATATTTACTGAGGGCTTATTATGTTATAGGCAAGAGGCTAAATTAGATGTATTTATTTATTTAAAGCACAACATTTGATCAAGTGAATTCTAAGATTGCAGATAAGGAAGTGGCTTAAGGGTTGCAGAATGAACCCTGGGGACTACCCCTCACTCTATAGCAAAGGGGATTAAGTAACTCTAACAAACTTGCTAAAGGAGGCGAAGAGGTGCTTACCTACAAATAATTTCTAGGGCCACTACTCATCTTGATAGCTTCAAAGCAAGAAAACCAGCAGCTTTTTAAATCACTACAGCCAATGGGTAATGCTTACAAAATCACCCCACTTTACAGTCTCAGAGGGTGGGGCTTGGTCTAGAATCAGTTGTATTTTTTTTTCTTAAGATCTATTTATTTATTTATTTATTCATTCATTCATTCATTCATTCATTTTATTTACTTAGGGGGAGAGACAAAGAGCAAGCGTGGGAGCAGGGGTTGGGGCAGAGGGAGAGGGAGAGAATCTCAGGCAGACTCCCAGCTGAATGTGAAGCCCAACGCAGGGCTTGATCTCATGACCCTGAGATCACGACCTAAGCCAAATCAAAAGTCAGATGCTTAACTGACTGAGCTACCCAGGTGCCCCCAGCTGTTGAATTTCTAAGACAACTGCTCTAAAAAGTTCCTACTGTTGTGAAAGAAAGTAGCAGATCTGCAAGAGAAATCACCATGGTTCCTAAGAATATCTAACATGGGATTAAAGTATATCAATTCATTTTTGTAATCACTTGCCACATTTAAAATTTTAAGATAACCAAGTGTTATAGCACATGTAAGCAAGCAATTCTACCCATGACTGAAATAAAAGCTTTGTAGAGACTCAGGTTCCAATAAGTATTCCTTCGTGTCCTCAAGGTGTGTAATTCATTCATTCGCTAATTCATTCAATAAAGATTTGAGGACCATACTAAATGTTATCATCAGAAAGCATTGATGAAGCATTCTGTGAGCATGACGTTATCTCAATTAAAGACAATTATGTCTATTATGAGCACCATATGCATTACTAAATATTTACCAAACATAAGACATCTTTGGGGATCCCTGGGTGGCGCAGTGGTTTGGCGCCTGCCTTTGGCCCAGGGCGCGATCCTGGAGACCCGGGATCGAATCCCACATCAGGCTCCCGGTGCATGGAGCCTGCTTCTCCCTCTGCCTATGTCTCTGCCTCTCTCTCTCTCTCTCTCTCTCTCTCTCTCTCTGTGTGTGTGTGTGTGACTATCATAAATAAATAAAAATTAAAAAAAAAACATCAGACATCTTTACAAAATGATCTTTTTTAAAAAAAGAGATTTTATTTATTTATTCATGAGAGAGAGAAAGAAAGAGAGAGAGAGGGAGGGAGGGAGAGAGGGAGGGAGGGAGAGAGAAAGAGAGAGAGAGAGAGAGAGAGAGAGAGAGAGAGAGAGAGAGAGAGAGAGAGGCAGAGACATAGGCAAATGGAGAAGCAGGCTCCATGCAGGGAGCCGGACGTGGGACTTGATCCCATGTCTCCAGCATCACATCCTGGGCCGAATGCAGCACTAAACTGCTGAGCCACCAGGGCTGCCCTTGAAAATGATCTTAACTCAATCCTCCAATCTATGAAAATAGAGTTACTACCTATATTTTAGAGATGAAGAAACAGAGATTTAGAGGTATTAAGAAACTAGCCTGTATGCATGGGATTAATGGGAAATCTCTGTATCTTCCCCCCTCAATTTTGCTGTGAAACTATGTATGTGGGATCCCTGGGTGGCGCAGCGGTTTGGCGCCTGCCTTTGGCCCAGGGCGCGATCCTGGAGACCCGGGATCGAATCCCACGTCGGGCTCCCGGTGCATGGAGCCTGCTTCTCCCTCTGCCTGTGTCTCTGCCTCTCTCTCTCTGTGTGTGACTATCGTAAAAAAAAAAAAAAAAAAAAAAAAAAAGAAAGAAAGAAACTATGTATGTGGTCTTATGAAAAAAAGAAGAAAAAAAGAGAAAAAGAACCTAGCCTAAGGTCTTATAATTACAGAACAAAAGATCAGGATTTAAATTGCCTGGTGTAGATGACTCCAGAGCCTGGCTCATTCCACAACAATCTACTCTTACTGAAAGCATAAAAACTGCCAACAAGAATGGCGATGGGAAGCAGTAAATAGACTTATTTAATTTTCTGTACAAAGGAGATTTCACTGGGAAACTATAAAACATGTTAAGAGATTGGTCAGTTTTTTTATATGTTTACGAGGCTACTAGAATATTATGCAGCACAGTTATAAAGTAATATATTGACAAATACCATCTCTGTTAATACATCATCCAAACTGCCCAAGAGTCAAGGAGAATATTAAATTGGGTCTTGACTTTAGTAACAATTCAACTGAAGGACTTGATGACTTTGTAGATTTGGCACTCAATTACTTGGCAGATCTGGCACTGATGCTAATAAGGTTTGTGGGAATTTGTGATCAAAAGAAGGCTACAAACCAGAACAGAATTTTAAATTGATATGACACAGCAAAACACCTGCAAAGGTACTTATTTCACTCAAGTGTTGGTTTTAACACCAATCACTATGCCAGAAATATACCAAAGCATGAAGATACACCAAACCAGTAATTCTTTTGAGGCACTTCTTGTCCTAGAACTCAACGGTTGGCCTTGTACATAAAATACTGACTGACCAGGGCCTACCTGACAAGCATCCTTCAAACTCAGGAATTTTCAAAATCATTGTTCTTTTTCCCCATGTCAGTAAAGTCCTCTTAAATATCACCCCTCACTTTATGATCTATACCTTTTACTTTGTTATCTATTCTTATACACTGGCTTCTCCCCTTATTTCGACAAACACATACTATTTCTACCTTCTTTTTTTTTTTTTTAAGATTTCATTTATTTGTTCATGATAGACACAGAGAGAGAGAGAGAGGCAGAGACACAGGCGGAAGGAGAAGCAGGCTCCATGTTGGGAGCCTGACGCACGACTCGATCCTGGGACTCCAGGATCACGCCCTGGGCCAAAGGCAGGCGCTGGACTGCTGAGCCACCCAAGGATCCCCTATTTCTACCTTCTTAAACAAAATCTTGCTTTGGTCCTGATTCTCTATAATCTTCTTTCCCTTTTGTCCTTAGGTTCCAAACTCACAAAGCAGCCATCACACGTATTTCTGCTACCATGATGTAGTTTAGTTCCAATCTCTCTCCCATGCTCCAGTCCCACCTATGTGACGGCACATTTGACATACTCAGACATTTCTCTGCTAAAAATCAACCCTAAATTCTAAGACCTAAATCCTTTTCCCATAAAATGGTTAATTCCTTCTGTCTTCTTTCTGTGCATAGTTTCTTATTCTCACTGGCCTCTAGATTTAAAATTTCAGAACGGTTTTTGGGTACATTCTCTTACCTTTGTACCCAGGCTGGAGTAAGTGCCCTGGGGCATTTGGAACACTTTCTCAACTCCCTAGTAGTTTGCCCCTACGCATCCATCTGACGGCTATCAACTCAGTTCAACTCATGCAGTTTCTCTTATTGTCTGCCCCTCCTCTCTTCTCCTTCTGGGCCCTCCCATACACCACACAAACAGAGTAGTTTTCCTAAAACACTGTTGTCAAAATCATCTTAAGGCTAGTTATTTTGTCATCTACAGCGATCTGACCTCAGTATCTACTCCCAATCATAGCTTAGTCTCCTCAATATGAGCCCAGCACTCAATCAGAATCAACTACTTAACTCTCCCCTCAATATACACACATATGCCTGGGCCCTCTCATTTTTGGAATGCCTAACTTAGACTACCCTCTTTCCTCGATACCCTTCCCAAAGAGATTCAATGTCTTCTCTCCAATGACTCCTTGCCAGGACACTCGAGGTCAGCTGTCCCCTTTCTGAGCTCCAACAGTACCCATTTGACACCTCATTCAATAAGTGTTCATCAAAAACTCTGTGATACTATGACTTATCATTTAAGAAAAAGACACCTGACTACCCCAACTTTTATAGTTATTTCCAGCACAGGGCCATGAAACATGCCAGAAAATCATACACACACACACACACACACACACACACACACACACACACACAAATTGTTCAGAGTGAATTTTACAAAATGTAGTAAGAAACCTTGATGCACGTTTTTAATACACATTATTAGAAACAGTCTCCAAAACAGAATGGAGCCCTGTAAATAACTCCTCAATACAAAAATCTACAAGTAAAATTATAAAGGGATAGATATAAGGGCAGCCCGGGTGGCTCAGCAGTTTAGTGCCACCTTCAGCCCAGGGACTGATCCTGGAGACCCAGGATCGAGTCCCACATCAGGCTCCCTGCATGGAGCCTGCTTCTCCCTCTGCCTATGTCTCTTCTTCTGTGTGTGTGTGTCTCATGAATAAATAAATAAAATTGTCAAAAAATAAAAAGGGATAGATATGATTTTAGCCACAGGCATTGCCATGTTTGTTTCTTTCACTGATTTTGCCTCTTTTCCCTAATATCATTTACCACCAGCTGGAAAATACTGTATTAAAACAGGTGAAGTTTTATTTTGACACCAAATTGGAAAAAGTGCTTTTTAAATATCTCAAAGAATGAAAAAAGCTCCTTTTTCTAAGATGCTTTAAATTTATTTGAATTAGACTACATCTTCTACTACCA